TGACAGACAGTAATGCAACTGCCTCATTTGTTTGACGATTTGGTGTGTGTGTGTGTGTGTGTGTGTGTGTGTGTGTGTGTGTGTGTGTGTGTGTGTGTTACAGTCAGTTTGCCTGTTTAGAATAAAATATCAGGTTGAATGAAAGTATTGTGCTATTTGATTGTGTTTGGCATGGTGTGTGTTCATCTGTGCAAGCTGTGAGTGTTTGTGTTATTTTGTGTGAGCCGATGTCATATTAAAGCTCTAATAGGGACATGGTCCAGTAAACCACCAGAACCTCACATAGTGTTCTGATATCTAAGCTAATCTATGGTAGATTCCTTACATTGTGCTCTTCTAATAACAAACATGCATGTTGTCTGCTGGATTAATATCATCATGACTTGGTTTTTAAATAGCCTTAAGTATTAATCAAGATTTAATTCTGAACACAAGGTTCATTTGTTTTTTTTATAGTCTCATAAACATTTCCAGGATTATGTGAGACAATAATATAGAAACTCGTTTTATTCTGTGAGTTAATGTTGGAATAAAGCAGCTAGAGCAGAAAGAGGGAGTTGCTTTTATCAAACAGATATTTGGATTTAATTGTCATTTGGCAAAAATGGGAATCATTTGATTCTCGTATTTAAGAATCTTGTTTAACTGTTTAACATTTGTCTTTAAATATTGATATAAATGTAGTCTGTTGTTTAGCATTTACAATTTATTTTTTAAATCATAATGGATGTTAACTTTAAAAAAAAGTAATTTCTGGTAAGCGACTTGTTTGCTTTTTACATAATCAGTTCTCGGCACATCCTTTTGAACAATTTGAAAAGTTGTTTTGTTGTTTTTAAATGGAGGTTTCTAATTAAAACATTTTAATTGCATTTCAGTTTCATTCTCTTTTCTGAGTTTTCCTCATTTGACTGTTTGCTTTTGCTTCCTTCGATGATTTTGTTGAAACTCAAACAGATCATCAGCCTTCTTTCATGTGATTCAGGAAATGGTGATGGGGGGAACTGCCCAGTTCATTAAGCAGGGAACCATTTCAAACCAGAATATTTCTAACATTTTGTTTTTGTTTGCTATGATGAACCAGTTTTTTCTACTCCTGCTCTAAATCATTTCCAGGACGCTGACTCTTGCTTTTATGTTTTGATCTTACATTTTAAACTGTAGCAAACACGTACATTTCCTGCTCCCTCTACCCTGTTTGTGCCTCCATTAGACCCCTGCTGATCATATCTCCCAACAGGCAGCAGTTCATGTTTAGGGCTTATATCTTCAGTCTCCATCGCCACAACGAAATATGCACATAAAAGGAGATGAATGACAAGTATGTTAATAAGACTGTGCCCTGGGATACGTCTTCCAGGAAGGGTCTCATCAGGCGAACAGGAAGAAAACTGAATTCTCACAGAGAGGAGAGAAAAGCAAAATACATGGTTTTACTCTGAATCATTTCATCAATGGTGTGAACAAAGAGGAAGTCTGATGTCAGGATGTCTGTAGGATGAGCTCATTCTGAATTGAGTTTTCACTAGAATGTGTTTAAAAAATGTTATGATCTGTTTTACTGTCGAGCTTATTGATCGTCTGTTTCCCGCTTTGTTTGTACAACTTTCTGGCTTTCAGCTCGTTCACTCTCTAAATCCACTAAAATATATATTAAATTTTTTTTTCATATACTGATTTGTAAAAGCAGAACTTTTGCACATTTATTAAGAGATTTGAAAGCATCAAAAAGAAGTATTAGTAACATACAAGTATTTAACACCTGTCAGAAAAACAGTTCAGTAAAACAAGAATTACAGCTTTTTATTTAACCTGTAGACTGGCTTAGTTTTATATTTGCTTCCTCTAAAATATTAGAAAGCAACATAGCACTTTATTTTAGAGATGCACCGATATGAAAATTTCAGCCGAAATCGATATCCGATATAATTATTGCTGTTATGGCCGATAACCGATATTTACCGATATTACACAAACACACAAATTATATTATACAAATACACACAAACACACTTGGGTCTTTTTTGATACTGTAAATAAATGACCAGACCTCTGACATGGCTCCCTACTTCAGTTATTCCTGGTTACGCAGCGTCAATATCATTATTATGATCAAACAGATGCTGCTCAACCAACCATCTCCCCTCCCAAAACAGAAACACAAAGATAAAAAGTGGGAAATCCATATCGGACGTTAAAATCGGCTCAGTTTTACATATCGGACCGATACCGATATTCTAAAAAAATTGCCAGTATCGTCCGATACCTATATCAATACCGATATATCGTGCATCCCTACTTTATTTTTTAAGTAGGCTCTTTATTTTAATAGTTTCCCCTAAATAAATAGTACTTTACTCCCTTTCCAAAAGCAAACTTTTATTTGAAACGCCTTTTTGAGCAGCTGAGTTATTCCTAAAATGATTGTGCTACATGAGTCGTCTGTAGAGTCACACTCACAACTTTCCTGTGTTTTCTGCTGGGCCTTCTGTTTAATCTGACAGCTTAATCCCCGGCGCTGATTAATAAATTGGGGAAGTCTCAGTTACTCGCTGCGTGGAGCGGTTAGGAGCTCCGTTACAAATCTTTCACCGACCTGCCCCGCCTCCGGCTGCATCAGCCCTCGTCTCCGTTCACATATGGCGGACTGCAATCACGTAGAGCGTCGGCAGCTTTCCGAAGGTCAGCGCCAGATTAGAGGCGACCCGGGCCCGCAGCCTCACAGCTGCACGTGCAGCCGGACAGCAGCAGATGACCTCGCATCGATTTACTCCCAGAGCTAATTTTAGCAGAGCTTTAGCTGTGGCTTAGTCAAAATGTTTGCACAAATAGTTCAGTCAGAGTCCTAAAAATAGAGGAAGCCTTTGGGAAGGTGATGTTGCCCTGTATTGTTTGGAAG